CCGACGAGAGCATGAACGTCCGCACGGGCGCGCACTACGAGTCTTGGCTTGCTTGGATGCGCTAAGTGATTTCTCAGCTGCCTGGTCGGGCCAAAGTACATCCATGACAGGTCAGAGTCAATGGTAATGAGGCACAATAACCCTCGGCAATTCACTGTTGCTTTCGTCTCTATGGCGTCGACTGAATCCTGCGTAAACTCGAAATCTTAGGCTGAAAAAAAACGTAGACCCGATACTCCACCTGTTTCCGGATCCTATGCAATACAAGCCAGAATCCGCACCTTCGCCGTCATCCTCAAACAACGGCCGTCGGAGGAAGATTATCGGCGGTACAAAATGCAGTCTCCTGCTTGTCCATCTTATAAGTGTAGCCATTCCAGACAAGGGAATCCTGTGGAAATATCCGTGCCGAAAAAGCCGGTGAGCATCTGCCCCACCTTCCAAAGGTGATAATTTGTCAAATGTGATCGTGCGACGACCTCGGTGCATAACTGAAGGGACGTACGCCGCCCATAAATTGTTTTTCTTAAGTCCTACTACGACTATTCCAATGAGCCCAACTAAAGACATTCTGCCGGTGCATGCCACATCAAACTGTATTTATGAACTTACACGTAGTTGCGGACGCAAATACGTCGGGCGCTCGCAAAGACAGCTCGGTCGGTTGAAAACATGCTAGAGCGGCTGATAAGAGCGGAAAACAAGCTACCCAGGGACACAGTTATAAAGCACTTAGTGGACACGGGCTATACGGTGGACCCAATAACTGCATTCAAGATCCTACTTCGGGTGACGACTGGGCGTTCCCTGCGCTTTGTCGGGGCCGCTGAAATACGGAAGGGGAAACCGGGACTCTGTGAGCAGCTGGATCACGTGATCGGACTCACACTGCCGTGGTAAGGATCGACCATGACATAACCCTATTCCCCCACCCGTTCTCCCATTCCCCCCCCCCCCGACTGAACTGAATGACGTCCCGAGTGTTGAATTTTATTCCCGCCTGACAGTAATATAAACTCGCTTGCTTGGATAACTTCCTTCCCCCTCGCCATGCGCCCCGTATATCAGACCAACAATCTATGTTTTATCTACCTATCATGCTTCCTCCCTCTAGGCCGATCTCTGGTTGAACAGCTTACCTTACCTCATAAACACGCAATGACCGTGTGCAGTTGAAGAAGAGGTTACGAAATTTTATGGCATCAATCAATTCTGCCTGTTTCGTCGCCTTTTCCTTGCTCAACCGACTAAGGCCTGTGATCCTTCCCAGTATCAAAGTCGCGGGGAACACCCCCACGTCCGCAGGAGCAGAAACAGCCTCAAACAAAGGCAGACCATGAGCAGTACTCGACAGAAGCAACAAAACAATGAGTAAATAATCCTGCACAGAAGGAGACAGCACGCATTGGCTGTACAGCGTAAAAATGGGTAGAAGTGGTAGCCAGGCAACGATTAGGATATGAGTAAGTCAAAAAATCTCAATTTTAAAAAAATGAAAAAGAAAGAGCCGATGAGTGCGTCCTACGACAGGGAAGCAGATCATATCTGCGTTTTGTCGATTTGCATGGCGGGGGGGAGGGCGGCAGGGAAGAAAGCACCAGCGGAGGCGGAGGGGGTGAATCTTAGACCGGCCAGAAGCCGTGCACAATATGGCAAAGCTTAATTGACAGCAGTCGGGGAAAGGGACCCTTCGGTGCACAAAGGCCGAGATCAATCTGGACGTCGGAGATAATCGAGAGAGTCGAAGTCAAGATATGGCATATTTAGTCAGGGTATATGGGCAAGAGCACCGGCATCTGGCACTAAGAGTTACTTCTCAAGGACAGGCCAATGATGAGGCCGATTATCACAATCAAGACAATGAAAATGAGTGCGCAGATGCACTTCCGACGACGAGCCGATTTTCTGTGGACAACAGCGGAATTGAGTTGCTGAACGCCGCTTTGAACCTAAAAGGTAAACAATATTACTACTTTAAAGGAGTAAGTACGTAGTGCTGTTTTTATAGGAATAGCGCGAAGTGACTAGCGGGGCCGCTTCCAGTTTATAATTCGTCAACAGCAAGCAATCCACTATCCCACCCAGGGGCTGGCGCACCCGAGGTTCGAACTCAGGCCAATTTACCATACGGCAACGCTCCGCTCTGAGGCAAATTGGAATCGTCTGTATTCCTTCTCGCAATCAAGATAAAGCTCTCAGATGTCAAAGCTTTTCCGCGTATGGCCGAAGAGCACGAAACAGGAAGATGCGCTATCAAAGTTACAAAAAAAACTAATGACTAACGACGAGTGACGAGCGCTGTTCGCGCCTCTTCTGATTGGTCGAGTTTCGAGTGCTAACCTGAACATAGGCAGCCTCCGTGTTGGCCTCGATCGAGTCCACCAACTCGCCCTGGTCATGAACGTAGGTTGCAAGGGTGGTGAAGAGCTCATTAACAAGGACGATATCGGACTCCAGGGCCTCCATCTCCCGGGCGCGTTGTTCTTCATCTTCAATTTGCAGCATCGTCTGTTGAGGGGCGGGTTGGCCTGTCAAAATTTAAAAAAATGGAAGAAATTCACCACTATGTCTCCTGTGTTGCCCCTAGTAGGGACTGGTAAAATCGTAAAGGACAAAAAAGCAGTCACAGGCACTGAAAACGGGAGACCAACATGTCGGAAAAACCACCCAGATTGTAATCGTCTGCGGGTATAAGTTGATGGGGTGGACTACAAAAACTGGAGGGCGAAGTGACATCGGCTGCTGGTTCACCATACTAGAAGCGTCATATTTTGGTCCTCTGGATTTCTTATGAGCGTAGATATTTGATAACGTCTATAATTTTTTAACGACTGGGATGGGGAACACAGCCAGAAAGCATGTGCGGTGGGACGATAATTAACGGCAAACTTTCTAAATTCGCGCCGGGCGACGTTAGGATGAGGCAACCTGTTAGGAAGGGGACCGCGACTGGCAGTTAAGAGCTTCACCATGCAAATAATTACATGGCCCAATCCCCACGTATCCACTGTGTGCTAAGTAGAACATTTACTTTGGGGAAAAGAAGGGAAAGGACTTCACTCCGCGAATTCAGACAAACATATGTTTTCGTAGGAATCGCATAAACCATAAGGTATACAATGGCGGTGAATACTCACGTGAGTATAACAAACTCCTTTTGTGGCGGGTTCTCGAGATATTTGAGAATAAAATTTTTGTCAGAGAAAAGCAAAGATGCAAACCGCAGTTTGCTCATACCGGAGCAGACTTTTGTCACAGCCACCCTCCTCAATCAACCCATACCTGCCGCTTTGCCATCGCCGGTGAGCGTGGCCAAAATGGCCGACTGAGCCAAAGTGCCTGTCTACGCGTGCTACACACACGACTAGGTCCTCATTTCATAAGTGCCAGGTTGCAATAAGAGGATCTGAGGTCCCAGACAGGCGGGCGATTTATATAACGGCCACGGTGAGGAGTCATTGCAGACCGACTCCCAAGCGGTATTCAGCGTCTTGATAACAATCCCACCCCCCCCCCTCCCCCGGTTTAAGTTGGTAGGCCCAGGGCGAAACACCTTTCGATGGCTGAGGCCATTTCAGGCAAGAAGCCGAGCATTGTGCTGTCGCAGGTCAATTTCCTGAACTAATCGGCAGTCCGACGTGGCGAATGAGCGGAACGCCTGAGTCGCCGAGGTGCGCCGCACCCTATAGATTGGTACACAATCGTCTTCTGCCTTTTTTCTTGTTTGCAAGTCTAAAATCATCGTTAAATAACTTTTATATTATATGTAACATCATTTGGAAGGGTTCTGCCCTGACTGCTTCTCACTTCCCATTTCAGACGGGCCAAAGACGCAAAAATGAAAATTATGACAGTCGAGGACAGTGAATGATGCAGACCCACATGAAACTACTGAGGAGGTAGCGAAAAAATTGCAAACTTTGTTTGTCACAGAAGGGTGCGGCGGCTCAACAGATGAGTTGCACAATGAGTGAACGAAAGGCAACTAATGTGTCGGGGCGAGGTATGCTCCATGGTTAACTTGAACGACAAGAAGGGTACACCTGTTGATGCAATTAGGACGTAGGTAAATATGGACCTTGTTAAACAACCATCAGGAGTCAGCGCTAAAAACGCTTTCCTAAACTGAGGCCGCGTCGAAAGTCATGACTTATTTGATGGTCTGCCGCCGGAAACATCTACCACAGCTACATGAATCTGGACGGATGCATGATGGCAAAAAAAATGCTGTCGTAAGTCCCATAAAATGCAAATCTCGAAGACGTAGGGTTACGACACTTTCCCTCAACGGGTACACTCATCAGAGCCCTCGTCGACGAATCACCTCTTTAGGCAGTTGGATATTGGAAAAAATTACTTTCCACGAAATCATCTGCTACAAAACTCTCAAGATATATCGTTACGGAATTAGACGAGTACTAATGGTTTAGATTTCAGATTCCCGTCGGTTAAGTGCGTGTTACGTTTTGACAATGGGGAGCCGACCACGATCTTCGAAACGTCAGCACCTAAATAAACCCGTTCCGGTGAGCCCATCTTTTTTTCAAATCATCAATCCGGGTCTCTCAAATTTGCCAATCTGAGCAGATTTCAACTAATATAGTTTATTCGGAGTCAATTTACGTCTGCAGACTCGACGGTTGGAAACCTAAATTCGTTCCGTATCAAATAGGTATTTGGCAAGTTTCTTCAAGCCTAATTCTGGCAGATTAGATAGGGGCGTCCAAGTACAATCGCGATATCTCCCTTTTTGAATAAAACAAAAAGTTGACTGTACCATTGGTCTAAAGTCGACTTGTAAAAAGGCAGAAGCAGCTAGCCCATGCTACTCTCAAAAAAGAAATTGACGGCGGAAGTCTGACCAGGAAGCTGTGGTATCTGTGTAAATGTCCGCAAAATGATACTGTGTTGAGCTTTTTAGTTTACGCAGAAATTAGTGCTCGAGCTTGGAGTGAATCCTATGCAGTGTACCTCTTCAGGTCCGCTCCAAAGGGATACTCTACTTGCAAAAAATGAGGCGCGATGTGCCGTCATGTCGCAACTCGTTTACAGCAGTATGAAGTCTCGCGGCGTTGTGCAAAAGAATGGGGACCAGGCGATTATGAGTCCGGGTTATTCCCAAAAAGATTATTCGGAATCAATCTACGTCTGCAGACTCGACGGTTGGAAACCTAAATTCGTTCCGTATTAAATCGGTATTTGGAAAGTTTCTTCAAGTCTAATTCCAGCAGATTAGATAGGGGCGTCCAAGTACAACCGCGATATCTCCCTTTTTGAATAAAACAAAAAGTTGACTGTACCATTGGTCTAAAGTCGACTTGTAAAAAGGCAGAAACAGCTAGCCCATGCTACTCTCAAAAAAGAAATTGACGGCGGAAGTCTGACCAGGAAGCTGTGGTATCTGTGTAAATGTCCGCAAAATGATACTGTGTGGAGCTTTTTAGTTTACGCAGAAATTAGTGCTCGAACTTGGAGTGAATCCTATGCAGTGTGCCTTTGCAGGTCCGATCCAAAAGGATACTCTGCTTGCAAAAAAATGAGGCGAGATGTGCCGATAGGGGAAGGACTAGCAGGCAAAAATCCCGACTTTCTTCCTCGGCGTCTGTCAATCAGCACCCTGGAATGTCCCTGTCGGCAGACTGCTGGTCGACTCCACTGCAGTCAGCAGCCTATAATTCGCACAGCGATCAACCAGGGAGGATTCAATCGGAAGACTAAAACTCCGGCATGACGCGCGCAACGACGAACCATACTTGCAAGTTTCTGATGGTTTACGATGACCCTCCGCCCCCGCTAATGCTGAAATAACGCACGCTCCGCGTCCAGTCAGGAAAGTCGACGGATCACGTAGCTAATGAAACAGTGGCGCGTCGCGTGTTGTGCAGATAGTCACGCATGTGGATGACTACTCATTCATCCAGTATTCCTGCCGCACAGTGACAATCTCATACACTTTCAGCGTCTGAATAGGGCCTTGTTTATCTAGGCCACGCGAGATGTAGGCTGTCACACGGGGTGCTTATCAAAAACAAGTGGAATTTCACTCCATATTCGATTGTACGACGCCGCTGTCATGACGATTATTATGACAGTACCAATATTATCACTAACAGTAGCAGTAGTGGCAACAGTGGTAGTAGTTGCAGTCGCAGCAGCAGTAATGGTAGTAGTAGTAGTAGTAGTAGTAGTAGTAGTAGTAGTAGTAGTAGTAGTAGTAGTAGTAGTAGTAGTAGTAGTAGTAGTAGTAGTAGCAGTAGTAGCGGTAGTAGTAGTAGAAGAAGAAATTGTTGTTGTTGTCCAAACTACTGGTGGCGGTTGTGTTTGCTCCCTACGGCGGGCCACGCGGGAGTTGCGCTGGACCAAACGGCGGGACCAGTGAGTCACGCGTTATTGAGCTGTGCACCCCTAACAAATGCCGTACATGAGAGGGCTACAGTGTCACGCCAAGGCGCAGGCTCTCACCGCGCCACCCACATGTACCCGATCCCGCCTACGATCTTCTTGACTCCGTGTTGACACCGGACCCAAGTGGACGGGTGAAGAGAGAGAGAGAGAGAGAGAGAGAGAGAGAGAGAGAGTGGTAGGCTCAGAGCAAGTCTTCTTCTACTACCATAAACTAATTAACGCGCAACTCACGACCTCTGAGCCAGCCGCGCCATGGGGCACATGGTGGACATCGTCGTTTAAGAGGGTCAAACTGACGGTAACAGCCCAGGCCTGTAAGAAGTGAAAGACAGAAACGGTGGCCTATGTCGACCATTGCGTCCGTGCGTCTGGGGAAGAGAGAGTGTGGCTAACGGCTTGCGATCTATCGTCAAAATAATAAATCTGACGTATAGTGAACAACAAAAACGGTCGTAGCATGGAAAGCTATCAACGCTGCTCCACCCGGAATTAAGCAACACTTTTCAATTCGTCACATTAAACTGCCTGCTTATCCGCTCCGCGTGCCTGACGGTAGACGACTTTCAGTAGGTGAAATCATTAGCTTATAGTTTCGACGGCAGTCATCATAACTGATTCAAACGGCTCCATGTTTTAGCTTGACCAAATCACAAACAAGCACTCCCTATTGCAAGTAGTCGGCGGCAGATTCCGATGAAAATCGGGTCAATCTGTACGTAGGGTCAGAGATGCGCTCGTGGCCAGCTTTCGCTACGGCCACTGGTGTCTTCAGTTAGCCGCCCCGACGACGTCGCCAATTAAGGTCGAATTCGGACGAAATAAAGTCGCGAACTATTCTGCCTTTAGGTTGGCGCAACACGTGACTGAACCACCTAAGTTGGTGAATGACAGTTCGGTCGGGTCCGGTTGCTAGACGAAGTCAGGAAGACCGGAGGCGGGGGGAGGGCGCAGGTGGATGGCGTGGCGAAGACCTGCGCCTAGACGTACCACCACACCCTCTCGTCCAAAACAGACAGACCGGGACTTTATATCACAGCAAAAAATAGGGCGTGGCGTGGGCCGGTACATGGATGTGCCACCGAACTCCCAATGTGGGCAATTGTTATGAGTGCGTATTCTCGATAACGCCTGCCAGGCTTCGATCTAGCCTCCGTGTTGGTCCAGCGCAACTACCGCGCGGCCCGTTTTAGGGAGTGAATGCTAGGGCACAATTGGCCGGTTTGACAGCAAACTCGACTATTAAATGACCTAAGAAGCTAGGGACCCGGACGAGCCTACGCACTGTGAAAGACGATAAACCTCTGGCATAAGCCCTGGGATTGAACTTGCAGTCATGAGAAAAGTTGTTGGTGAAGGTCTGGAATGAAAAGCGTTTCCCGGTGGTCATTAGCGCACCTTATACGTCGGCCCCCAAAGAACAGATCTATACAAACCTGGGATAAGATCAGACCTAACAAAAGCTGTCTCATTATTGACAAGGTGAGCTGTCTTGAACACCTAGACAAGCAATAAAACCTAATTCAAACGCCAGCCGCTCTCAATCTATACGCTGCTAAAGACGGCTCACGAGGTCCTGATTACAAACGGTGGGCTTCCTTTTCAGGATGAAGCCGGATTCGGCAAGGGTCCTTGAGAATCGTCATTAGTAAGGGGTGTCAGAAGCGGCCATATTACAGAACTCAGGGACTTTCGATACCCCGTTAGTGTTTCTCTTGACAGGAGAAAATGACCTAGTGTTTAAAAGCAGCCGCAAACTCTGTAACAAAAATTAATAAAGCAGTTAACCTGCCGGATAGAGTCAGAACGTCATACCTCCACGAAGCATGAGAACTCCACGTTAAACCTGACGGACCGGACTTATTGAGAAACAACGACGACGATAAGTCAAGCCGCCTGTGAGAATTGAAGTGGTTCTTACATCGTTGTCCCTAAAAGTTGCCAAGCGGTAGGTGCGCTGGACCAGCACAAGGGGACTAGATCGAAGTCCGGCAGGCGTTATCAGGAATACGCATCCATAAAAAATGCTAACATTGGGGTGTGAGTGCACGCCCACGTGCAGGTTCGTGTCACGCCAATTGAGATCCCAGCTGTCTCCCCCTATTCTTCTTACTGTGGTCAGAATTCCGGTCAGTGTACGTTGTGGACCGGGGAAGTTGGTGGTACGCCTAAGTGCGGTTTTTCGCCGTTCTGGTCACCTGTGTCCTCTCCCGCCCCCGGTCTTCTGTCGGTTATTACACCTTGTACTCTGAAAATGCTGAAATGGTTCATGGGCCGTCGTATTTAGAAGTCTCGTCTATCAGCCCACAGTAGATCGAAACGCAGAGGCGGCACCACCGGTGCGAGCCACATTTGTCACGATTGAGGCAATATCCGAACAAAATATAAAAAACAAACTGCGGCCGGTTTACGTTTCTTTAGCATTCAGCAACGTATGCTTGCGACATCCACCACCTCATTTGAGCGTTCCTGAACTGGTATATAACATTGTCTTACATAGTCAACCAGAGGCGGGGACAGAGAAATTCCGCAGCAACATCCTTTCGTCTAGGGGTGGACAAGTTTATCGGCAAAAATGTAATCAATTTTGAGGAGACAAAGAACATGCAACCTACTGTGACAATAACTGTATCTAGCTAACGGGTAGATGTAGTCCGACGACAGACGGCGGCTTACGTAGAGGTCGCGAGGGACAAAATATGAAACAAAATTCGTTTCATTCGGGGGCTATCAGACACTGGTGGTGGGTAGAGGAAGAACTGTTCATTGGTAAGTTCAAAATCCCCTAATACGACGTCAAGGAATGCTAAGACATGACAAAGGTCAAGCACACGAACCCTCAAACCCCATCAGATCTGCCGAGCCACCTCCGACAGCACTGCGGTCGCCCTGCATCGCAGCCGCACGCGCCAGCGACTCCGATACACGTTGTACCTCCCGTCCAAAGCGTTGAATGCGGGCAGTCTGAGCCATTGCCTGCTCATTAAGCTGGCGAGCTCGAACTCGTGTTTCACTTGGTTCGCCCAGCGCATGCGATGCCCTGCAAGGAAGAACGGAGTGTTTGCTAGGATTGGTCGTCGATGCGTTAGTAATGTCTCCTAAACGTGAGTTCATGTCTGCAGAATTACAAACCGGTCATTTAATACAGAAAGGGCACCATTTGAAAAGAAGGTTCAGTGAGACGACTATAAGGCGGATTCGAATGTGGGAAGGAAATGGAAATAGGCAACTCTGTTGAAGACGATTTTTCCTGTTCAACCGACCGGATTCGGAAAAAAAAGTGCGGCCGCCCCTCGCCTAATACATGGGCTTTTAGTGAAGCAGTTAACTCAGGAGGTTTGGGTTCTGCATGGAGGAGGGACAACAGACACCTGTTGGCTGGAAACAAGTTCGAAATTGAGGCGTGATTGACCCTTGGAACGGCAAATCCGGTTCCAAACATGGGTCAGAATGACGCGGGAGTTAAAGCCACCCGTCGCCTCGAGCAGATAACGCCGGTAAACTGAAGTTCAGCAAAATAACTATAAGCATCTGGGCTGTGGGATCACAACCGGCTGCCCGTTCGTCCCATGACGACTGACTTGGAGTGCGACTTAAATGCCATCGACAAAACACATACGACATAACAAAAACATCCCGAAGAATACGCAATCCGCGAACAAAAGTGTGTCAATCAGGTAGTCGGAGGCAAAGACGTAGGGTATATCCGGGAATCAGGGCTCTCAATACCTTGTTGTTGCACGTCTGCCTATGGAACCGATGTGACCTCTCCATCGCCACGTGTACCGTGCACCTGCCCGGTCTGTGCTTCTCTACGGTGCAGAACGAGCGAAAACTGGAGGTGTTTGACCACCACTGCTTGAGGACCATCCTTCGAGTGAAGTTCACCGACTTCGTCTCACACGAGACAATCCGCACTCGCTGCGAAAGCATCGCAAAGATAACTCAGGCCACCCAAGAAAGACGACTGAAGTGGTTCGGGCATGTTCTTCGTTGTCTACCTCAGGAGCTCAGTGTTACTGCCCTCGATCCGGCACCGTTGCCCCATTGGAGGCGTCGAAGAGGGAGTCAGTTCAAAACCTGGCTCGACACAGTTCGTCAAGACATGGTGATGGTTCTTGGACCTTCGGTATTCGATCTACGTCGCTGGAGAAGAGAATGGTTTGAGCTGTCCAGATCCGCTGCCGCAGATCGTCACGTGTGGAGAGGTACGGTTCGGGACATCATCGAGGCCGGCTAGATCAGACATGATCGCAGCCGTATCAAGTAAGTAAGTATTCAGGAACCAGGGCTCGCAATACATTGTTGTTGCACGTCTGCTACGGGTACGAAACCCAAGCAAAGTTCCGACGCACTCATCAGAAATCCAGAAAGGAGTAGTTAAGCGCGGCGTAACTAGCAGACGGTGAGGCAAGGACGCTAGCACTTACAACCAACAAGGTTGACTGTTGAAATGTAAGACAAAAGCGCGCCAAAAAGGCATGGGAAACGAGCAGATACTGCTTCCTCTTAAAAAAAACTCTTATGCGCAAGGGAGGGAATTAGTGTGAGAGCGACGACTTATACTGCAGACTATGCAGACCTACTTTTCACTGTGCACTGCCTGGACTCCCACGAAAAATGAAAACAATCTGGGTTTGGGGACATAGCAATGTCCTCAAATAACCCGTCCCAGGGTTTGAAAACCAACTGCAAAAAACGAACAGTCGAAATGGTGTACTCAATGGGGTCTTGAGTGGCTTTTGAGGGCGCCTTCGAAAACTACACGCGTGACTAGGCTGAAAAAGTTACTTCCACCACACATCGTCTATCCAAATGGACTACCTTACACATTCCTTTACGGTCTGCGTACTGTCGCCTTTGCCTAGGCGCAGGTAGTCTGACCCCACTCAGATAACAAATGAGGCAAAAAAGCCTGCTTGTGTTGTTGTCGGTCTCTATGTCACGTACGAGGTATGGAGACCACGCCAGTTAGCAGTATTCGAGGCGTGTCCAAACAAGCGTAGTGTATGGCACCCACAAGCTTTGTCCTGAGTTGGTGGAATTACCTACGGATGACGAGAATATTGGTTCGTGTCTTAACCAGAAGACCGTAGGCGCCGTTTCAGTGGTGCTTGGTTGGAGAAAGTAATAATTCTTAGGTCGGCGGCCAATCCGGTTAGAGGGATGTGTTGTAGCTAGGACCGTAGCAAGCACACGAGATGGAGAGGACGAACAAATAAGGATGCAAGAGTCAGAACGAGAATATCCTATAACAGGGTTTTATTCATCTTACAATTGGCGTACTGGGACTAAAACGAGAAATAGAAAAGTAGTAGATAAGATGGAATTTAGCCAGCGGCTTATGTTAGCATGGCAGGATGACCTAGTCGACTGCTATTTAACGGACTCATCAGGAAGACGGGATCGCCTGCTAGTCTATCTGCTGATTACCCGACACGTCTACAGCGGCAAAAGTTGGCAGGATATCCGGTCTAACGAATCTACAGTCACGGATCATCTGTAGCGGTACGGCCTAGACGCGGAGGATTGACAGCTGGCGTGACGACTTATTAATTCCCACAAAGCTCGGCGACGGTGGAGCGGCGGCCGTAAACTGCCACTAAACTTCACTTTCCACTGCTGCCTAACAGCCTAATTTCTGAGCCAAACCATTCGAGGTCTCGTTCATACCAAACAAATTCCTGAGAAATCTCATGAACGGGATGACTGAAGTATTGCAAATCATGCCACGGTGTCCAAGGTAACAGACGCGCTCCACGGTCCTTATTCCGTGACGAAAGACAAACAGTACGTGGACTATATTTCTCAGTCAAGAAGTGGCCCTTGATATCGGACGCTGGAATGTATGAACGTTCCTAGACTCTGGTAGTCAACGTTTGACGGCACGCAGTCTTCATCAACACAACGTGCATGTCTGCTGCCCGAATCTCTGGCCCAGACGGTAGGGAAACAAGCCTCGAGGATCAGTCCTCACCCTGATGTCTCTAAATGCAGCCTACGTGCCTCTTATAGTAGCCTGACGACCGCAATATCGCAACAAACCAACTATGTATTGCTTATGAAGAAACCACTCATTAACCAAGGAAGGAGCTTTAATAACATCTTTTCCGCTTCTGTTTGCATGTTAACATTGACAGACCATCAGTAAGACAAAGTAACCTACAGGCAACTGAACGAACTGATTAAGGGACCCAGTCGCCGCGACACAGCTATGAGTTACCGCAATATGGAATGACAGGACTAGACTAGGCAACTCTCTAAAAAATCACTCTATTGGCCGTCTGTAGCTTGGTTCCCGATGATGACTCCTTCCACCAACTCCGGAAAGTGATGGCAAAGTCGACTAGAGATGACCGGAAGAAATATTGGGCTGAAACAGCGACCTCCATGGCGCAGACAGCGAACGCCGGTAACATGAGAAAACTTCAGCAACTTGTCCGCTAAATTAGTGGTAAGCCCTCTCTTCTTAGCGACTATGTTCGCGACGTGAATGGCGGTTTTATCGTTGACAACTCCACTAAGGTCGAGCATCAGTGTGAACACTTCGAGCACCATCTCAACCTTAATGCTCAACCCACCACGTTCTTCCTCTCCTCTGCAGCGGGGTCCCCTCCCTGTGCAACCTATTTAGTGTCATGTGAGCCCCTTCTGAAGTAGTTGCAGATGCCATAGAAAGGCTACGCAACAACAAGACACCCAGAGAGGACGGTATAGCCACTGGCTATTGTCCTTCCCAGGCGATTTCGGGCTGTGTGTGACTCTAGAACGAGGCTAAACCAAGCCGGACGTGGATGTGCGGACCAGGTATTCACAGTGAGGTGCATTCTCGAATTCCGCAACCGCTACCAGCAATCGACGGCCGGCTGTTCTTACTTTGCCGCCGCGTTCGATCCCGTCTATCGTGAGTCTCTCTGGCGGATAATGGCACTAGATGGTGTGTCGCCAAAACCATTGTCATGATCAAGGCCTACTACATCTCCACCACTGCACGAGTTCTGGTCCATAACAATCTTTTCCAACCGTTGGACATTCGGTCTGGAGTTCGACAGTGCTGTACTTTGTTGCCCATTCTGTTTAGTTATGCTACTGACTGGGTTCTCAGGAGACCCCTACACCAAGATGACAGTGTTGAGTTTGCAACCGGACAACGGCTGACTGATCCTCACTATGCCGATGATATCGCCTAGTGGCTTCAGATTTTTTGTGATCTGCAGTACATGGCGTCACGGGTGAACAAGGTCGCTAATTCGTCCGGTTTATCCATAAACACTGAGAAGACCAAGGTCTTTACGGGCTGAATCCCTGACTAGGAGGCACCTCTCAAGATTGATGGATGTCAATTTGAAGAAGTAGGCAGATGCAAACGCCTCGGGCGAGGGTGCTGCCAAATGGACAGAAGAAGGGCGGTGTTGTCTCCCGAATTAATGCTGCACGCCAAGTTTTCTCAAACCTTAAAATGTGTCTATGGATCCGACGCGACATCTCCATCGCCAGTAGGATTCGCGTGTACGGTGCATCTGCCCGGCCTGTCCATCCTTACGGTTGTGAATGCTGTACTGTGCGCATGGAGGACGAACAAGAACAGGAGACATTTGACCATCACTGTCTGAGCACCACCCTTCGAGAGAAGTACATGGACTTCGTCTTAAATGTAGTCCGCACTCGCTGCGACATTGCTAGGATAACCCAGATCATCTAAAAAAGACGACTCAGGTGGTTTGGCATGTTCATCATCGGCCACCCCAGGAGTTCAACGTTACTCCCCTCGATCCGGCACCGTTGCCTATTGGAGGCGTCGAGGAGAGGGTCAGCTCAGAACCCGGCTCGACACAGTTTTCGGCCTCCGTCACTGAGGAGAAAAGTTGTTTGAGCTGTGCAGATCTGCTGCCGCGGATCGTCACGCGTGGAGGAGTACAGTCCAGGACATTATCGAGAGCGGGGAGGCCAGACATGATCACAGTCGTACCAAGTACAAGTAAGACTAGAACACTTGTCCATACGTTTGAAACTGAGGTTGGACCAGACCACTCCAAGATTCTTGGCTGTTTTTTCGACGTTTGTCTTTTAGTTGATCGCCAATCAATTGCAGGGGAAAGACCAGCTCCTTGACAGAGATTAATAAGTCAAGTACCTTTCCGATTCGTTATTTATTACTAAAATTGACTATAGCTAGCCGGCGGATCAAAATTCCGCAGCCGCCTCATGTCTACCTGATTGGTGGATCTCTTTTCAATTTAGCGTAGGTAAACTGCCAGGCATTATCATGGTCACGCTATCTTATCCATCGAATGATTTCTCGAACAGCAACTCCGTTGGGTTTAAGACAATCAACGTGTATTCAACGCTGAACGCCCGTGTAGCACTTGTTTTGGTTAGATCTGCAACCGTTGTTAAAGTTCAGATATCTGTCTTAAGATCAGGGTACGATGGGGAAGGCTTCATATCAGTGCAATCTTTATTTAAGCCGGAGACTGAAATTAAGTGAACTTCCACCGCTATACGAACGTCCTACAAGTGAACGGTCCTCCCGATATGACCCTACGCTTTATCCATTACCTGAAGCCCCCTGACGTTGAAAACTAACACAATTAAATAAATTAAAAGGAAAAGCTGATTGTTAAGCCTTTTCTTATGATTCTGTGATTATTCTGACCTTAAAGACCCATTCGGCGCAAGTTTCACAGGACCAGTGCCGATAAGGACTTTCCGAGCTCTATAACGGGCAGATCTAATAACAGTGACCACGGCGCACTTAATAAGATATCAGACAGCAATAACTGCGGTGAATGATTGTCTTATCTTCATTGTGACCAACGGCATAAACATCTGATTAGAATACGGAAAAAGTCGGCATGCGCAAAAATCGGTTATTCGCCTAAGTAAAACGACGTAAGTTCGATGTAAAATCCTCGTCAGATTAAGCAAAATTGGACTGTGGCTCAGATAATGAAGTCGTAAATTATGATATTAGACCGCCAACGGACCCAGAAGTACCGCGCTTACTAAAAGTCCAAACACTAAAAAACTTGAAAAAACATCATGCCGTGCGATTCTCTGGGTGCACACAACAAAGGAATGTAAAGTAATCAGCCAATACTTCAAAGACAAACAAAGACGCCACCTTATTCGTAATTAACACTCAGAAACTACTGCAGCTTACGTTTGAAGAGCTCTTAAGTGTACGGAAAGGTCCTTCGTTGACAAAATAATGGCGTGATATTTTTCCTTTAGGAAGGAGTCAGTAACATGTCCAGACTCCGCGCGCTTAAGTATCTCCTCAAATTGGTCCAAATCATGTTTTATTCGTTGGATACTTTGCTCAATCGTTTGCATTTCAGACGACGCCGCACCTGCAACAGCCATTTTGGCAACTAAAGTATGCGGTATTTTAAATCGCAAATTTAAACAAGAGCTTAAAAATTTTTAAAAGGGCAAAAATGTTGTGAGTAAATTTTTAAAAAAGATAAAAAATATGGACTACATTATATGACCTTTTCAAGGTAATCGTCATGGTTCCTTGATTTACCTCCAACATGCTCCGTACGCAGTGTGAGCTGTAATTTTTTACATATGAATTCCACGGGTGACGAAAGTGCTTGTACGGATGAAGTTAAAGTTTACAAAGATGAGGGGGAGGAAGAGGAACAGAAAAAATCGTCAGAAAACTTGACCGAGGACAAAGTTGGCTTGGTATTTGAAGGCGAAGGACATGTGAGTATTAAAGAAATATTATTTCTATATATTGCAAAACATTTCTGACGAAGTCATCAATTGATTATGTTTCGTTTTTATTTAGAGCCATAAATTTTAATTTTCTTATTGCTCGCAGCATTTGAACCGTTTGTGTATTTTTCGGACATTGTTTAAGTTATTATCCGTTTATTTACCCGATATCTTTTGTTACTAAGGTTAAGTATCTTCCAGATTTATGTTGCTTTTTCACGTTTGATATGAACTTTTACAAATCAGTAGCAGTTTTTTATTGTAGCATACGTACCCGTCTTTTTGGCTTCTGTTGCTTTATTCCTGTTTCACTCCTATGTTATCTGCCTTAAGGTCGTCCTTAAATTTTACTTAACTTATTCCTTAAAGTTTCCGTGTTTTCCTAATTTTTCTGTTTGCCGGGTCACTTTTTTGGACGGTGCTCTACTAAACTATGCACATTTTAATATAATTTCTAGCTGATGCCAATTTTCCGAAAATCTCACTCATTATTCGAAAGTTTGATTTTCGTTTAATAAAGTAGACAAGATAAATTCTGTGCCGATTTGGGGATCTGATCCGCTAATTTTCCGCATAATTCTTCCGACGCATGGAAAATGGGCATAGCGCTAGGAGTACCGTAACATGTACTTTGATCTCTTTTGAAACTCAGTTACAATCCAGGCATCGCTTGCATTTCGATGCCACACGCATGTTAGTCCTTTCAGGAGAGTGGTTACGTAAGCAGTTTTTTGTCGAACTTTATTAGGCCTGAGGAGGCTGTTCTTCCATTGGACACTTTATGTTCATAATGGAATTTTGCAGACGACTTTTAATACTGCCTGAACCTTGTACATATGATTGTGAGCTTAGTCCGCTTGTAGTTGAATGACTGCTCACGTATGACAGTCCATAAACCCATTGTGACCGTCGACTTTTTGCTGTTTTGTAACGTGTTAGATTGTCTACAACAGCTAGGACGGAGATCATTAATGCGCTATATTGTGCTAGTATTTTTGTCACTGTATTTAATGTAAAATGTCCAAATTTATGCCCTACATTAACTCCATAGTAGGCACATCCTCAGCAGCATACTTTGATAACAGACGACCTTTGTAGGGCTTTCGTTTTTTCTATATTTAGGTATTTATGCAGAGTGACTTGTAAGTGAAGAGCAAATATGTTGTAACAGATGACTTACAAACAAGATATCTCCAGACAAGTTATGGTTAGACACCCTGTGCAAATGCCTGCTTAGACTTCCCTTGGCTGTTCGCCAAAGGCTGAACATTTCTGAATTACAGACATCAGGCAATTAACTTTAGTCACAATAATTGTGTTTCGGTTTTGTCCGGTATACTTGAGTCAAACCCTCATCTGCGTTCTCGATTCCTTTAGCTTAGTTGACAGACATTTGTATGCCAAACCAGGAAATGGGTCGCCACAAATAATTCGACTCAACGTGTACACCTGTTATTGCATCGCAAAGATCTTTTATCACGTCCATGTTTTTTTCAGCTTCACGATTGTTTATTTTTATTTTCCAGTCGAACCTCTGAGTTTCAATTGGATTGCTTTACGGTGTCACCTTTTGAACTTTTATAAAGTTCAGTGTTTTGTATAGGTTAAATAGCGTGTTTTAGTTTGCACTACATTTATTAGGGTAATTTCCGGAAATGAGCTGTTTTACTTGGCCTTTGATGCCTCCTTCGTCTTTTCAGTATAATGGCGAACTCGTTTTTGGAGCGTACTGTTTTTGTCGGTTTTGCATGTGACTGATTTAACTGCATAAGATGCTGATGCGGTCGAAAATGCTATTTTTGTCTCCTCGATACAACTCTAGAGATCATGATATAAGCACGACCTTCGTTTCCGACACTTTTGCACTACACATAAAATTTGAAGGCATTATTTTGGTTTAACGTTCGTTTCTTCTAAATTAAGAATTCTTTTCGTTGTTTTCGATGTTAACCGTTTTTGTGCGTATGTCTGGTTAAAATACTAACTCTCTGCAAAAAGCCATAATCGTAGTAGTCGCCCTATTTCATGGCACCGAAATACTGATTTACTTGAATCTGGTTTCCCTTTAGTTTGGAATAGTTTGTTGTGTTAGGTCTTTTTTGAATAATTTTCTAATTTTGAATTGAAAACTAACATGACCTTTGGAGACCGAGTGTCAAAATGAAAGAACTACGAACAACTGTATGTAGACGTGAATATTTCTCAGCTTAACTGCTTCCATCCATACACGACACAGAGAACCGCTTAGTAACTTACTCCAAGCTAAGCTGACCATTTTGTTCACTAGTCAATCAAAAGCACTCATCAACTCCCAGAATGGTCGGTTGATGGTATTTGTGGACTGGCACTCCAATGAGAGATGTTTCTTCCCTTCAGCCAAATATCTAAAACCCGATTTGGGGTATGAAGTATGCAAATATTCTGTACTGATCGGCCAATTATTATTCGACCCTCACGAGCCCCAGGACTAAAAATTTGCGTGCTTCATAGAATCCCCAGTTATCTCCTTATTTATTTCGTTTTTCAGCTTAAACTTGTTAATATCCGTCTGAAGACTCTGCTCGCAACTTTTAAAAACGTCCACTCTTTTGGTTAATGACCACCCTACTGCCCCACAAACTCCCCGAATGCTGTGATAGGTAGCCACCTTATGAAGTATAACCAAATTAGGTTTTGATTTGTCTCGTTTTCATTGAAACTCCTCTGAGTGTCGCTAACGTGCCTTTCCTTTCTGGCTGCTGGTAGCATTTTTTTCAAGAAGCTGACGCCTACATGGCCGTGTCTGTGTATGCACACGGCGACATCTCAGACGTCTCATTTCATCACCTCTTCTATTGCCCGAGAAGGGCTAAATCGCGCTGGCACGCACATGCCCCCATTTGATCATGCGCAAAGTCTCCTGCATGTGGTTTGCACCGTCTCTTCTCATCGCTTTCCTGTGACCGAATGAGGCATAAGATTAGGCCAGTTTGGGTGCGGAAAGGTCCGGTCCGCGTTGCCTCTTTCCCGCAAACTGAATGCTGCCTTGCGTGCTTCACGGGGCATTTTTATCCCTTCCACTCAACTTCTTCTCCAACATTCTCACGCCCTCGCCGTCTTGACAGGGCGTTTAAAAAGAGGCGCCTAATGGCTTCACGAAGGCGTTGACCCTGAGGCAGGCTGGTCTTGCTTCATCCCTTTCTCTGGTCTCTGTTTTTCCGGTAGTCATTACGTCTAGGCAGTGCTTTCGCCTCGTCTCGTCTCTGTGTCGCTCAGTGTTCACTTTCAGCCACAAGGAGCCACCTTAAAGTTTGTCCACGCCGGTCGCCCAATGAATTGCAAAAAACTGCTCTTCTTAGGGGTGCAAGCATGAGAGCGGATTGACTCCAATCTGCACGGCTCCTGCCCAAAATAAAGTCGTGTAATCTCAGTTGGCGCAGGCTTGTTTTACATAGATCAGGTCTCTTTACCTATTGAATGTCTGTGTTTGCGGCCTCCTACGTGTCTGTGATAAACTCTCAGAGGTCCACTCTTATCTGCTCGGAGTCATGTTGGCGTGCATGCAATTGTTTGCATATTGACACCAGCCCACACAGTAATCAGCACGCCAACTAGCCGACGTTGTGACCGTCTGAAGGGAGACAGCGCGAAATGCCAAAATCTTCTGTAGGCAGGGGGGCTCGTTTAGGACAATTAAGAAATAATTCAGAGAAAAGTCCGCCGAAAATGACTGTCCCCTAGGGTGGGGCGAATGTTTAGCGCATTTGGTCGATTAAGTAAATTGTACGAAAATTCTTTAATGCGTCCCGCACTACGGTCCTGCAAGTTAAACAAAACAGACTATAAATTTGCAAAAATCAGCGGTGTGCGAATGAACGCTCTTACCATTTCCAAATCTGTCTATATTTCTCCAATAGGATGGGTCTCATTTTTCGGACGTTTTCTTTCCCGTATATTTCTCCTTTCATACCGCATTATACTTTCTCACCCATCCTCTCCTCCCCATTTTGCCTACCCACCCCCCCTCTTCCACCTCATCCTCCTCCCCCTCCTCTGCCATCATCTCCCCATCTCCTCTTCACCCTCTTCTTCCTTATACAAATGGTCTGTGATACGTATACCGTAATTATAAGCCTATTCACTGGACACACTTCTTTCTCCTCAATGAGTTTTCTCACCGCAGCCCCTATCAAAAAATTTTTAACTGTGCACACCAACTACTTGCTATTTACGTCAGGAGCTAGGTTATGCGTACTGCGTCTTAAGGTCGCTGAAATCCAGACTGAACTTTGGCGGTGAGCCTCAGACAACATAATTAGTGCAGGCTAATCTTCCATCATACCATGGCAGCCTCCACATCTTCTCCTCCGTCTGTTCATGCTTTTTACAGTACTCTCTCCCGGACACCTGTGGAATGTTCATTCGGTTTTTTTCCTCCACCTCCAATCCTGGTCCGGCAACTGCTTTAGCCCTCAGCCACGTGGTCGTGACTGTGTGTGTGTGTGTGTACATGTGCCGTAAACAGTTGGTTTTTTATTTCTCCTCATCCTTGGTTGCTGGGGTTAGCAAGGTTTGCTTTCGTGGGCGTAAACCAGACGCATCTCTTCAGTCCGCTTTGCACACTCCGAAAGGAGGAACTGAATTAAGGCGCCTTGTCACTG